TCTTGACTCTGGATGTAACATTAACTGGTGATAACCTTGGCGAAGGTCTAATTTGGTCCAAATGGAACGGTCATGGAACTTGTGAGTGAAATCTTCCAACACTGGTGCTTGTGCAATTCGACTGCGTTCCATGTACTGGTTTGGGACTCTGAAATCAGCACTAGCTCTAATCATGTTTGGTTCCCGTTTCTCTGGTGGTACCTCTGCAAATTTGGGCTTTAACTGCTCTACTACTGGAGAACACTAAGTGATTGGCTCATCATCAGGAACTCTTTCGAAAACGTCCCCTGTTAATCCTTGGTCTAGCCATTTCTTGAGTGGTTCTTGAAGGTAATGTGGTACCGATCTGGGTTTCTGAGCCACTGGTATTGCATTGGCCTTCATATGGAAACGCACTAAGATCTCCTTTCCACGTTTCTTTTCTTCCATCTTTCCAATGCCCTCAAACAAGTGACTGTACTTTGCGACAAGGTCTTCCATTTCCTGCATTCCAGTGTTCTCAACAGTATTAGCTGCACAACCGTCGCTGGATATCCTGAGTGAATTGGGTTCTGCGAGACTACCATTTGGTTGGATCTTCAACATCCCCAGTCCTATTAAAGTTTCCATACCAATAAGCGGAGGGGATTTAATTCTCCTAATACCACAACAAACGTCACCAATCTACCACAAGTGTCATTGCGTATTGTTGCACGGAATTCACCCTTAACATCAAGTTTGTGTTGCATTGTGTACAATTTCACGTTGCTAGGCTGAAGAACTCGCTTATCACTCGACCTATGTACAAATGCCTTAAATTGATGCTCATCCATAATGTTAACATCTACACCACTATCCACTTTCATCTGCACATCCACATCATTCAATTTCACTTTAACACACCTGCTGGTAGTACCCACTCCTCCGATCTGTTTAACTTTTTTCGCTTGCGATAAGTGCTCTTCTGCTCGTCCAAAGAATTCATCATCAGAACTTGTGGATTCTCCCGCTTCTATTGTCTTCTTTATTCTGCTTTTGACTTTACCTTTGCCTGGTTTCTGTTTTCTAAATCTGTTACTCTAGGATTTACACACAACTGCGAAGTGATTCCATTTGTGACATTTAATACATTTCTTTCCAAACGCGGGGCAATCTTTTCCTTTCACATGCGCACCGAGTAATCCACAAACGCCACATTTCCACGGTTTCATCTGACGTTGAGATTCACTTATCGCCGGTACAGACTGCACGCGACCAGAGTGGTTGACCTGTTCTGTTCCCATGTCTTGTATTTGGCGCGCAATATCTTCGGTCTGGCTTGCTTCAGTAAGAAATCTTGTGAGGTCCCATGTCTTGCTAATGGCCCTCTCGATTAATGTCTTGTTGTCAATGGTCTGAATAATATTTTCGAGGATTCTTTCATCAAATGTATCTCCAAATTCGCACCCTTTCGTTTTTTCTCTTACTCTTGCGGCATACGCGCTTATAGTTTCGCCCGTGTGGCCTCATCTTCAAGAATAAATAACGGGCATGATGTTTATTCTTCTTCGGGGTAAAATGGCCGCTTAACTTCATACGCAGTTTTGTGTACACGTCGCTCGTCTCCGGATCAGGTAAACTCTTTTCCAAGCGGACTATCTCATTTCCTCCGTAAATAATCATCGCATCTTTCTTGTCCGCGGCCTCTGAAATCTTAAAGAATCTGAATTCCCTTTCAATACCTTCTAGCCATTCCTGCCAAGCTTTTTCCACGGCGTTCATCTGTTCTGCGAGACGTCTGGGATTGCGAACGGCTGTGTGGGGAGGTTTCTCGTCTCTGTTACAACTCGAATTGCTTGAACTGCCGGTCCAGCAACCTGTATTTCTTGGACCACCGCCGCTGCTTCTTCACGATTTTCACCCTCATTACATTCGATCCTCGTCGCAAATTGTATAAGCCGACAGGAAAAGTATATTTATTAGAAGCGTGCGAGCATATATGATCCAGGGCTTGGGCCCACTTCATGAAGTCGTCATCAGGTATAATCCTTCATATATACGCCACTAAATATAACATTAGTCGCAACATTTTGAACGTAAGGGTTGCCTACAGCGAAACTTCTATTTAAACTGTGTATAATTATGAAAAGTTTTTGAAGGCTAGTGATCAAAGTAATATCGAATGGTTCTTCTCAAGTGCTCAATGTAATTTGAGGAGACACTGGCCAGAGTCGTGGGGCGTGCAGAAAGAACTTTTTGTTTTATTTGTTGCAATAGATGTTCTACAGGGCGCAGTTGTTCGAAGGCCGATTAGCGCTTAACCCGGGTTTCTTTTCCTTTTGTTCAAAAACATTTCTTTGGATAATTTTCTCTGCTTGTTGACAAAATGAAGCTTTCACATCTGAATTCAGATTTCGATGTTATCATTAATTTTATTTATTAATTATATTAAAGATCGACCCAAGCCGGACCACATTTTTTGCGGTGAACGCCGGGGCACAGTGATTGTGTTTAAACACTGGTTCACTTACACTACCTCTCAATTTCACACGTTTCAAGGGAATCATCAAAACCTTCAGTGGAATGTCAGTGGAATGTGTGTACGGCTCACGTCAATAACTTCTCCAGTCATTTGGTCGAGTGTGTTGATTCCAGTGACTTGAGTGGCACTGCTGCTTGCTGGCCACGTTTTTCCGAATAAATAACATGGAGCTAGAATGTTCGTTTGTCCGGTGCCGAAAATATGACAAGTCATGATGAAATGGTGCAGCCGAGCTTCACATCTCGGTAGATTTACTTTGTGGACCAACGGCCGCCGAGCTACACAACTTGGTAGATTTACTTTGTGGAACTACGGCCGCCAAGCTACACAACTCAGTAGGTTGACTTTGTGACACGACGGACGCCGAGCTAAACAACCCGGTTTGATGCAGACACCAGGAGTCGCACGCATTTTCCAAAGAAAAATATGAAAGCTTAATCCAAAGTAAAATTTTACTCATGGTGTAAACTTTCAGCAAACTTTTGAAAGATGAACGCTTTGGAAGATTCATTAAACACAGATCGATAGTAGACCTTCAGCAAACTCTTAAATATGTACGCTTTACGAAGATTCAGCACACTTTTAAAACGTGAACGCTTTACGAAGACAGAATATTAGACCTCAGCAAACGTTTGAAAGATGAACGCCGAGGACACACGAATCACCACATGAGTTAGCGCGTCAAAGTGAGCCCAGTGAGCCGAAACGTAGCAAGCGCCTCAAAGCGAGGCAAATGTGTGTCGACAAAAATGCAATCTCAAAAAAAACGTCCCTTATTAGTTGCACAGAACACCCAACAGAAATTAAGAGTTGCGTTCTCGTGCTCGAACGCAATTACAAATTGCACTGAGTATGAAGATATTCTTTCATGGATGCCTTGAACGTTGAACGTTGGCCAGAAGCAGTTTTAAAAAGGGGTATTTGAAGCGAATCGCGCTTGGAGCATAAAGCGATCATGTATATTAGAGCGTTTGCAAATTTTGCTGAAGAGGTACCTTGGAGCTAGGCCATTTAAACATTTATGAACCATTACTGAGTCTCTGAATAGTAGTACAGTTGACTCCCGATAACTCGAACCTCGCGCTAACTCGAACCAAAGTCGATTTCCCCTTGATTTCCTTCATACGTTTACTGTAATTGTACCCTCGGTAACTCGAACCTCCCGCTAACTCGCAATAATTTTTGTTTTCCCTTCAGATCATTTCTATATAATTTTACCCTCGATAACTCGAACCATGATGTAAGGGCGTGACAAGTCAGGAGAAAAACCGTGTACTGAAGTCCCAGACATTGAATTTATTTCAAAGCAACCGACATGCAATTTCACCTCATAGTAGTTTCAGTCTTTTTGAAAACGTGTGTGAAAGATAATGATTGCTGGAAAGAGGGATTTGATTTGTATGTATCGAGGCGGTCTTGTTAGCGGTTTGTAAACAAACTGTACCGAGCCACCTTAAGCTGGCGAAGTAAGGGTGTTACGTGATCGCATTTCTTAGAATTTGTAGCTATTTACGAAGCGAAATTCTGAATTGATTGGATCTCGTTTATATTATTGGCAGAGGTATTTGACCATACTGAGGAACAATAGAGCATTTTGCTGAATACCAGGGATGAATTAACTCGAATTAAAATTAACTCGGTTAATTTGACATAACTGTGGAGATGTGATCGTTATAAGTTAAATGTGGGTCAAGAATGACACCCAAGTCCTTGGCGGAGGCAGATGGCTTTAGAGGCTTGCCAAGAAAAGTCACGTAGGAGTGGAAGGTAATCCACTTATCAGCTGCCTGGTTCCGATAAAAACGAGTTTGGTCTTGTCCGGGTTAATTAGTAAGTTGTTATCAGAGTCTTATCACATCACCACCTTGCTACGTTGGGCAGGTCGTCTTCGAGTTTCCGAACGGCCGAATCTATACCTAACAGGGGAAACGACAGGAACACTTTCGAGTCGTCGACGTATGACTCCAGACAGCATGTTTGGAATGCAAACGGTAGATCGTTCAAATAGATGCGAGACGACAGTGGGGAGAGTATAGCACCTAGGGGTATTCCATGTGTAATTGGCAGAGGGTCAGATAGGGTAGAGGCTATTCGGGTAGACTGAGAGCGGCCAGATAAATAGCTCTTGAACCAGTTGACAACAGCAGGTGAGGCACCCACCATCGAAAGTTTGTGAAGCAGTTTTAGATGGTCAATAACATCAAATGCTTTCGAAAGATCCAGTAGCACGAGCGTTCAAGGTCTCTGTAGAGATCGAGGAACTTTTTGTTTCCGCTCTGGTGGGAGGACAGCCGCTTGTTTCGTAAGAGGTAAATGAACAATTCTTTCACAAACCTTTGAGACAACCGGTAGAAGTGATAAAGTTCGATTGTTAGCTGCTTCCTTTGAGGATAGGTATGAATTCTGCCGTCTTCCATGTTGTTGGAAATGTGTTCGTAATAATGGAGCAGTTGATAATCTCAGTGATAGGACCTTATATGACAGGGAGGCAGTCTTTGATTATACGAGTACTTACTTTGTCTGATCGACGGGAGAGATTAAATGACACGGCGAGTTCACATCTCGCTCGTCCGGGAGAAGAGGGACAGTCTCCGGGGTAGGTTCAGGAAGGATGATGTTATTGTCTTCAGCGAGGCGAATAGATGCATTAGCAGCGTTTCTGCCAACGGATGAGAAAAAGCGGTTAAAGTCTTTAGAGTAAGTGAGCCTTTCCTGGTTTTTAGATGGGATGAGGCGATTAATGATCTTCTAGAGGGAGCTGGGATTGTGTTTGTGTAGTTGCACCTCTTCGGAACTGTATTTCCTCTCAGCTTTACTGAATCCTCTCTTGACCGAGTCGTGGGAATCCTTGAAATTTTTCCAGTCTAATGCGTCGCGTGTTAGAAGGAAACGGTTATGAGCGCGATCCCTGGACATCATTAGGTCCTTGATTTCTTCAGTGACAAGAGGTCAGGGTCTGCTCCGAATTCTGATCGTTTACATAGAAGCATGTGTGTTCAGAACCGACTGTAGGACCCCATTGAGGATTTCAAGTTTAGTGTCCACGTCGGTTTCATCGAAAATAGTTAGCAGGCTTTATTATTAGGATAAAATTAATAAATTCATATTTTAATGTGTAAAATCTTACATTTTATTCATTTCTCGGACGGCAAAATGTGAATTTTAATAAACCGTTTACCTATCTATTTATCTATCCATTCACAGCGGTTAAAAGGGATGCAGTGTTCTAAACTACAAGGTATGAAAGGGTTACCAATACCATTTGCCAGTTGAAAGGGGTTCCTTTTTAGTCAAAAATGGTATATAAAAGGTTAAGGGATTAGACCTTGGGGTGGAGCCACCCCTCCCTGTATAAGACTTCATGGAATATCCCCTGGGATTGAAGAACCACGGGTCGTGTATTGTGGAAATCTTTAACTTTTATTTAAAGATATCGAGAGACTGTACAAGATGAATATTTAAGTGATGACAGCCAACAAGAAGAAAATGATATGAGGCCAACAGATCGAGAAACAGACAGTGACGATGATCAAGAAAATACATAATTTTAACACAACGCGTACTACTGTAAGTAGCAAAGGAGAAAATTCACAACGGGAATCAAATTTCTTTTTTGTGAAACCCTAACAAATAAATAGTGCAAGTCTGTGAAGGATCTTGTTTTGTTGTTACAAATGGTAACATCATGTGTTTCAAATTTTTGTTGTAATATTACCGTAATTCTTATCGCCAAAGGTAATAAATAAAGTTTATTATTAATATTATTAACATAGGGTTTTGCCACTTTCAATGTAATATTTAACAATTATTCCACGGGTGCGCTTTGGATATGAGTTGGATATAACCATCTCATATCCAACAAGCGCGATAGGAATAATTGTTTTATTAAAAACGCCCACAAAATATCGACAATTCTTCCCGACTTTATTTGTAAGAACAACCGATTTTCAGCTTGATATTAATTTGAGCAGACGCGTACAGTTACCATATGTGGAGAGCGTGATATAATGGCTCATATACCATGATGGCTAAGCCAATCAGAGATCTAGAATTGCATTATTCAATGATTCAGTTTTTAATAAATAAATTGAGCCAAGGCAAAAGTGAAAAAATTATGATATTTTTAAGAAATGTCTTTCTTAAGTAAAGTTTTCTGAGCCTGCAATCACTTAAATACCATAACTGGTCAGCGGATATCTTTAAAAAGAAACAGTACCTTAACTGACTTAACTTGATTCGCCGATAGGCGACTGTACTGGGCTGCCCGGCACAAAACCTGCGATGCATGAAAACGAGAAGTTTTCTCGAACAGACACAGGGAGCCCGCACAATCTGTTTGTGTAGCCGATTGTTATTTTATAGTAAATGTTCTGGATTTACCGTTTGCCTCACCTATAGCGGTATGTCGCTAACTATGTCTATAAATCAATGATAAATAAACGTTGAATTACCTTACCTGTGGTATATAGTCGTCCTTTTACATCAAAAGCGGTTTTTTGAGCGATTTTGAAGGAGTTTGAATTCTAATATACTTATTTTAAGATTTACTGTAGCTCTGCCATTGATTTTCCCGTGTGTAATTATGATAATATTTTGTTCTATTTATCTAACTGAGGGAGCCCATTCCTTATAAGCCCGGTGGCTTCTCTTGGGCTTCCTCGCCATGAGAGTTTAAGTAATTAGATTTCATTTGATTTGTATAATTTTTTGGCAAACAAAACAATAAACAATAAGCCGTTGACTGTTCCTTATAATAGAGGGACAAGGGTGGAATCCATGTTTTGAAAGGGCTCCAGTGCCGGAGCGATTTTTTCCCCAAAATCGCATTGCTCCGCTCTCAAACCCCGTAGCAAAAATGTCGAAAGATTCACGTTTCTCCTCGTACCTTCCGATCGAAAATCCATCCAAACAGCCCGGAGCTAGCCGTCGAAGAAAATTAAAATCCCACAGTATTCGAGCGGCAGGAATGCGTAGCAAGATTCATACGTGCCAGCCACAAACCTTCCCGCTGATTGCCCTTTTTTTATTGGATGTCGTTAACCAAATGGTTAAATAATAACTGATGAAGAAGACTTGGTAAGCGTTTGTTGTTTAACGACATCCAATCAAAAAGAGGCAATCAGCGGGACGGTTTCTGGCTGGCACGGATGAATCTTGCTACGCATTTCTGCCGCTCGAATACTGTGGGATTTTAATTTTCTTCGACGGCTAGCTCCGGGGCTGTTTGGATGGATTTTCGATTGCAAGGTACGAGGACAAACGTGAATCTTTCGACATTTTTGCTACGGGGTTTGAGAGCGAAGCAATGCGATTTTTTTGGGGAAAATCGCTCCGGCACTGGAGCCCTTTCAAAACATGGATTCCACCCTTGTCCTTATATTATAAGGAACAGTCAACGGCGAAATCAAACTCCTTCAAAATCGCTCAAAAACCACTTTTGAGGTAAAAGGACGACTATATACCAAAGGTAAAGTAATTCAACGTTTATTTATCATTGATTTATATACATAGTTAGCTATATATCGCTATAGGTGAAGCAAACGGTAAATCCAGTACATTTACTATAAACAGATTGTGTGGGCTCCCTGTGGTCTGAGTCAGTGATTGTTTTGACGAGAAAGTGAAATTTTCCGGGAAAATGAAACGCTTTATCCTGGTGATACTGTAATACAAGAAAAAACTTTTAACAGTTTTTTTAATTTTTAAGTGTACATTTGATTTCAGTACTCCTTATTTTTCTTGTAATTGTTGTATGCACGACCCTACCAGCAATGCTGATCTTTTTATCGTGCCATAAACTAAGGTTCTTACCTACCCACCTACCTAATCTATCTATTTATCTATCTATCTATCTATCTATCTATCTATCTATCTATCTATCTATCTATCT